AATCCCCATAAGACTCTTATTAACCAGTCAAAACTAGAAGTAGAACTGTGGTTCAAAGTTGTAGAGCAACAGCTTTGTGCAAAATTGCTTAGGGATAGAGCCCAGGCCCTGAGTTCAAGCCCCATGAGTGACAAAGAAAAGACAGCTCTAAAAGTAATTAACTTTATAAATGGGCCTGACGATTTTATTCACCTATATTAGACCTTTTACATATACTTACAACACCATAGAAATGTTCCTCTATATGAGCCAGAAATAATGAAGTACTTTTAACTTCTATTTAAAGCTGTATATAGTATACCTACTTATAGCTCAGAGATGAGCATGTTTATCATACAAAACGCCAAGTTGACCACCAACACTAAAAAAAGTACTGTATTTAACTCAAGATTATAATAGTGCAATATTCCAAAGTCTAATATGGTAAAGGTAGTCATGACACAAGGGCATTTTTAGTCTCAACAATGCAACCCCTGAGGTTGAGAGAAGAAGACTGCAGGAGCAGAAAGTTCCAAATCCTATGTTGCATCAAAACAGCCAAACCCCACTTTAAAAAAAGTTTGATTCCATAGGCATCAGTTAAAAATCACTTTTAAGCTAAGTGCAGTGGTGTACACCTGTAACTGCAGCTCTTCCAAGGGAGAGCAAGGGTGCAAGGTCAGAATTAAACAACCTAGCCCAGGCCATAGAGGAAATTCCAACCTCAAAATTATGGAAACAGCTGGGTGCTGGTGGCTTATGCCTGTGATCCTACTTAATCATGAGGCTGAGATCTAGAATCAAGATTCAAATCCAGCCCAGAAAAAGTCAAGTGAGCAAAAGAGCCAAAAGTACAACTGTGGCTCAAGTGGCAAAGCACTAGTGTTGAGTAAAAAATAGTAGGGACAGTGCCCAGGCTCATGTACACACACACACACACACACACACACACACACACACACATACACACACACACATACATATATATTTATAAATAAGTATATATACAAATATATGAAAACAGTAATAGCAACAAGAGGACACTTTAACAATAAAGCATTTTTGATTAATGAAAGAGTAATACTGTAGAATGTTAAAAAAAATCAACTGCAAAAACCAATTTTATGAAATACACATATTCATCTCTTCCAATTTCTTAGTCTTCTGGTTAAGATAAAGTATAGAACACATCTTCTACCTTAATAAAGTTTTGAAAAAGCACTTTACAAGTACCAAAGTAATGGGCTGGGAACGTTGGCTCAGTGGTAGAGTGCTTGCCTTGCATGCATGAGGTCCTGGGTTCGATTACTCAGCACCACATAAGCAGAAAAAGCCAGAAGTGGCACTGTGGCTCAAGTGGTAGAGCACTACCCTTGAGCTGAAAGGCTGAAGGACAGCAGCCAGGCCCAGAGTTCAGGCCCCACGACTGACAAAAAAAATTAAAAAAAATATATAAAGTACATTAGTAAATCCTTAAGATGTTGCTATAGGTAGAAAGGGTACAAAAGCCAGGTCCAGGTATTTTTTGGGTCCGGTCGTGGGGCCTGAACTCTGGGCCTGGGTGCTGTCCCTCAGCTCTTGAGCTCAAGGCTAGCACTCTATCACTTGAGCCACAGCGCCACTTCCGGCTTTTTTTTTAAAATTTTTTCTGCCTATGTGGTACTGAGGAATCGAACCCAGGGCCTCATGCATGCAAAAAAGAGCTCTACCACTGAGCTAGCTACCTTCTCAGCCCCAGGTCCAGGTATTTTATATCAAATTATACCCTACCACCAAGTGTGTAATTGATAACTTCCCATTCTTTTCCTTCCTACTGATTTATAAGGCTGTTGACCTTTCTCTGTAATTAAAGATCTATTATTAAGCTAAAATTTAAAAAGACAAAATATTTAGCATGCAAAATCTTTAGCTCTTCACTGGTTCTGTAATAGAGTTTCAGTTCACTGATATCTACACACCATTGCTTTAAGCAGTAATACTGGCTACATACTTCAAGCAGGAATAACGTAGCTGTAGTACCACAACTAATGCTAGCGGTACTCTCCCATAATCCCAGCACCAGGGAGCTGAAGGCAACTAACAGACTTTGGAAACTCAATGAAAATTTACAATTATAGCCAAAGCATTTATGTCTGTGAGGACAGACTTCAGAATCAAATGTTAACAGCTCTTCAATTTCAAGGCAATTTATGTTTTTTAATGCGCTTCTAACAATCCCTCATTGATCAAATATTATTTTCTAATTAGAAAAAAAGTAAACTGCTCCTATGCAAAAATCATCATCTTACACTGTGTAAGCCTATATATAAGAAACCATGGGTATGACAACATTAAGAAGAGGACAAAAAATATGCAAGGAACTAGGGATGTCAGATTAACTACTGAGGGCCTATGAGCAATATACAGGACAATCCCTTCATCACCAAGTGGTGGTAACACAAATGTAAAGAATATAAACTAGTAAAGAAGGAACCCCTGAGTTCACACTTCAATACAGTAAAAAGTAAAATAAGTCTGTTTCAGGAAAAAAACAAAACAAAACTTACTCTAGGTAAACTAGCCTCAAATGTAACTACTATTCAGTGGAAAAGTTTCTAGTAGACACTAGATTTAACAACAAAAAAAAAACAAAACAAAACATACCGGCCAGGCTCTGGCTACTCAGGAGAATTGAGGTTCAGAGAACTGCAGCTCAAAGTCAGCTCCGGCAGAAAAGTTTGCCTGAGACTCTTATCCCAATTAACCACTCAAAATCTGTTAGTGGTGCTGTGGCTCAAATGGTAGATCAATAGCCTTGCGTACAAATAGGCTCAGGGGCTGCACGCCCAGGCCTGGAGTTCAAGCCCCACAACCAAGGGAAAAAAAAAAAAATACTGGGAGCCACTCTGCTGCATCATATCTCTCATTTTACAAACAGACACACACACACACACACACACACACACACACACACACACACACAGTGGATTATGGCTGCATAAAATGTCAAACGTTGAAACATGAACTTTTAGTACACACAAATGTGGCTAAACGTCCTTCCCAACTCCTGCCAAACTCGCAGCTCACTTTTAAGGTAAAATAGGTAAGAGTCAAGTCTAAGTAGAACCAAGCACTAGATTTGTAGCATAAAAAAAGTAATCAGTAATACTCCAGAGTTTCACTATAGGAAGTATATTATGAACTGACTCAGGAAAAATCATGAGAAACCAACCAAAGATTATAAAAAATTTTTACAAAGCCAAACTGATTACCTTATAAAAAATGACAATTGTGCAGCAGACTAAAAACCTAATAAAATTAGGTAAGAAATTACATTCTAACATCTACATGATACAAAAGAACTTGTTAAAACAAAGCAAACGCTTTTTCAATAAACTGGAAAATGAAACCTAACCACGTGTATGATGAGAGGAATGATGAAGCATTACCCGAGACAGGAAAAGTTCGTACTAAATCCATTCCTTGTGGTCCAGATAAACCAATCATCTTCATTGGTTCTGGGAAAGCAACCTCTTACTTTCAGTGAGAAGTAGTCAAATTTCACTTAGTTCATTTGTCTGACACCAAGTTTTATCAAGACTATAAACCAGTTACATGTTAATAGATCATACTCTTAAATAAAAACTACTTTCCAACAGGCACTGCTTCTAGTTTATGCAGTTTACAGTTTTGTAAAAAGCCTCTAAGAATCCATGATACTCTGCACAACTGTGACTCCTTAATGCTATTACCACGTGACTAACCCACAAAACTAATCAATGTATTAAGGAAAATCTGGCTGAAAATAGGAAATCGTGATCAGATACACTGAAATGAAAACGTGTAAGAAATCGTTGTGGGTATGCACAATACCCACGTATTAGAAGAAGGCTCGTCATAAAAATAGCCAAGACTCTCAAACATCTGAGATGCTTGGCTTACTGAGATTGACTGACAGACAACAGCTGGGGGAGATTTTCTATTGATCTTGTAACCTCCTGGCATACTTCAGGAAAAAGAAAATCGGAAGGAGATCATTACAATGGTAAAAAAAAAAATACTGTTAGGACTTCATTTTCAGTTACTTGACACCCCCCCCCCCAACACACACACACACAGAAAGGCCGAGAAATTCCTCTACTTCAGAATCCGTTTACCAGCCCTGATCACATAGCAATGCATCTCCTCAAAGGAAACGAACAAAAAGAACCTCGTGGAGAAAAGGAAAAGAGAAAATCAAAAGGGTTTAAGAAAAACCTTACAGGGTACCTGACAGAAGTCACCGCCCCACCTGCCCCTCCGAGTCCCACATTTTAAATCTTCAGAACTCTCCCCTTTTCTTCCGTAACAGAGGGACTTAAGGCGCCGCCCCGATTTCCCAGGCCGTAAAAATCATTTCGCCCCGCCACATCTCAAGGTTTTTTTTTCTACTTCACTCTTCCATTCGACCCTTTCGCCGGCTCCCCTCCCCCCCTGCTCCGACACTAGAGATTCGTGGGCCCCGACCCCGAACAATACGAAGGTGAATTCCTCAGATTCCGCCCGACGCCCCCCTCCCCCGGCGGCGGGGAGGGGTCTGAGCCGCGGGCCGCAGCTCCCGCCAGGCCTGGCCGGGCCGGAACCAGCCGGGGCCGGGCCCGGGGGGGGGGGGGGGGAGCGGCGGGACCGCGACCCCAGCGCCGCCCGCCCGGCTCCCACCTCAGGCGCTGGGCCTGCTCGCTCCAGCCTCCCCGCCGCCCAGCCGCTGCTCGGCTCGCCCCCGCCGGCTCGCCCAGGGGCCTCACCCCCGGCCAAGAACACGGTCCTCCCGTAGGGAAAGGCCAGGGGCACCGGCGAGTGGCTTCAAAACATAGCGGAGCCCGGGCCCCCGAGACCGTTAAACCGCGGGCAGAGTGGAGACCAGCGCGGAGCCTTGTGTGGCCTCGGGTTTCAGCGCAGCCGCGCTTCCGTCCGCAAACTTCACTCCCGGGGACCACCTACGCCCCCCCGCAACCCGCCCCAGCCCCCGGCAGACCCCCACGACGCGGCCACGGGGCCAATACCTTATAGAAAGCCCCGTTGGAGCCGCGAACCTCCACCGTCAGCTCCGCCATGTTGGAACCGCAAAGGCCGCTGGGAAGAGATTCTAGAAACTTTCCAACCCGAGGGGCGGGGGGAGGGGCGTGACGGAGCGGGGGGCGGGGAGGGGGCGGGGACTGGGATTCCCCGCCCGCGCCCCGGGGTCTCAGCGTGCGGTCTCGGCTCTCCCCGCGGCTCCCGCGCTCCTCACCGGCCCGCGGGGCTCCGCCCGCCGCGGCCCCACGCCCGCCGTGCTCCGCACAATCGCTCGACCTCCGCTGACCCGTCTACGTCTCCGCCCCGCGGGCCGCCGCCCGCCCTCCCCCGGGCGCGTCGCCGGGACGCCGCGGCGTCTCCCGGTGGTTGCTCGAGGGCCTCGCCCGGTGCCCGGTGGACGGCCTGCCGGGCTCCGCACCTCGGCCAGGGCGACGGCGGGGCTCCGAACCTCCCGAAGGCCTGAGAATCGCGCGTGGTTTGTGACCCCGAGCCTTCCGGGCCTATTTAAAGTCGGACCCGAACTCCGGAGTCGCACACCCCGCACACCCTCCGGGCCGTGGGGAAGCGGAGCCGTTTGCGGGGCGTGGGGGGGGGAGGGGAAGAACCGCATAGCGGACGCCGCCTGGTCCCCACGGGGCACCCGCCAAACTTCCAGACAGCTCAGAGCGAGCCCGCCCCAGTGACCACCCGCACTGCCACGGAGCCGGGCCTGTGGACGCGACGCTGGAGCGGCCGCGGGGCGGAGCGGCGGAAGGGCTTAGACTTGTTAACTACTTTCACAGAAAAACTTTTTTTTCCTCTAGATTTTTAGAGACAAGGTCCATATAGCCTAGGTTGGAATTCCCAACACTCCGTCCCAACACTGTATACATATACACGTATAGGTGTGTGCTAGTACAGGGACTTAGCTCAGGGCCTGGGCAATGTTCATTAACACACACACACACACACACACACACACACACACGGAGGCTAGCTTGAGCCACAGCTTCACTTCCGACTTTTTTGGTGTTTAATTGGATTTTCCTGCTCGGGCTGGCTTGAAACTTTAATCCTCAGCTCTCAGGTCCCTGAACCAATTCACTTGGTTTAAAGTATATAATGAAAAGGTCTTCGGTATATTCATAATTGTCCAGCCATTTCCATGATCAATTTTAGATTTTTCCACTGCAAAAAGAAGCACACACCTGTTTGTAGTCACTCCCAATTTAATCCTGATACCCCAGGTCCTAGTATGTTTTTTATATAGATTTGTCTAATCTGGATATGTCATGTGAATATAAGCTTATGTACTTTTATGACAACTTTCCCTTAGCATAATTTTCAAGATTCAACCATGCTACAGCATGGATAACTACTTCTTTTGGTCAAATCCTACATTACCATTGTCTGGATCTATCATATCATTTGGTGATTTGGAGGAATGCTTTTGCTTTTGATGTTGACTGCACCCATGGCCTTGTGCATCCTAAGTACCTGATCTACTATTGAGGCACACCCTAGCTTCTTTACTCATGTCATTTATTCGTTCATCAGTTAATAGTGCTATAGGAAATTTCCACATTTTGACTATTAGGAGTCTAAGAGTGCTATGATTACTATCCAAGTTTTTGTATTTTTGTGTTTTGTGTTTTGTATTTTGTGTTTTCATTTCTCTTGGATACAACTTTAGAAGTAGTATTTCTAATTATGGTAACTCCAGTTTTTAATGTTTAGTGGAATTGCCACATTGTTTTCCACAGTGATGGCAAGACCTGCATTCTCACTAGCAATGTATGAGGGTCTTACTTTGTGTTAGGTATTTCTTTTTTTCCTCCTATCTTTTTCCCAGTCTTATCTTTGTTTCTTCTTCGTTTTGGTCTTTCTTGTGTTTTTGTGTTTGTTTTTGTTTCTTAGTGTGAGGGATTTGCAGTAGTGCTGCAAAATAATTCTATTTCAGGGGCTGGAAAGGTGGCTCATTGGTAGAGTGCTTGCCTTGCATGCATGAGGTCCTAGGTTCAGTTCTTCAACACCACATAAGCAGAAAAGGCCAGAAGTGGTGCTGTGGCTTAAGTGGTAGTGTGCTAGCCTTGAGCTGACGAGCTGAAGGACAGCACCCAGGCCCAGATTGCAGGCCCCACAACTGACCAAAATAATAATAATAATTCTATTTCAGTCCAACCTAAAGGATTCTATATTGTTTAAACTATGAAAAACAAAAACTTTTGATCTTTTTCAGGCATTATGATCTGAAACATTTGAGTTTGGAGCCCCCCAGCCAACAGTTTATTAATAGTTAGGTGGGATTCATGATTTCCATCAAGTAGCTGAGCTTAATAGCAGCCAGTAACTCATCTGAAATCACTTTCACTAGATTTTTTTCTGTTTATGTCGTGCTGAGGAATCGAACCCAAGGCTTTGTGCATGCTAGGCAAGCACTACTGCTAAGTCACATTCCCAGCCCCTGAAATCAAACACTTTCTAGATGGAAAATTAGGATTTAAGCCATTCACTTCTCATTTATAGTCACACATTGGTGACTGTAGCCCTCTGTAATACTCACAATGACACATGACACATTTAATTGATTGATTGATTGATTGCAGTCTAGTGGATGGAAGCCTGAACTGCCACCATGCTAGGCAAATATCAAACCCACAAACTTAAATGTTTGTTATAGATCTATTTTCATCACTTTAAAAAGATATTTCAATTGAACTATAGCGCAAGTGGCAAACCACCTGCCTAGCAAGTTCAAACCTCAACACAACCAGAAAAAAAGTTTATTTTTATATTAAAAGGAAAAAAGCATTCCCTGTTTAAAAAAAAAAGTGTATGTGCATGTGTAAGTTGGAAGTTAATATTCCAAAATTTTAATACTGACGTATTTCCAGAACTTCATGGTTGGCAAAAAAAAGTATAGAATTTATTTTTTCACTGTCCTAAGTTTTTTTTTTTTTGCAATGAATATATCACTTAACTACTAGAATATGAGAGATATTTGGTTTTTTTAGTACTATACCATGGATAATCTATGGCCATTGGAAATAATCTTACAAAAGACATTTTACTAACACAAGAAAATGCCTGTGATGCAGGCTGTCACGATGCATGGAATCTATTACATGCTAAAAATGTTCTACAATACCTTTTATATGGCTTGAAGCAGGACAGATCAGGGAAATGAGGCAAAGGAGACAGAAATTCAGATAAACACCATATTACTGAATACTCTGATTTAAAGCAAGCCACAGGCACCATTTTCTTTGCTATAAGCCTATACTCCCTCAGTAAACATAACACTTAGTAAAAAATAAATAAAACAAAGAGTTCTGTGACCTTGTCAACTTGCCCAAATAATTTAAATTAATGTGTTCTGGAAACTGAATCAGGATAGCTTAAAAACACTTATCCTAGAAAATTCTATTTGTCACAAAAAAAAGTTTGCAAAGTGAAAAACTTATCTCAAAGATGACCTTATGTATTAAAGGCATCTGACAGAACCCATTTTTAGATTAAAGGGATGTTCTAACATCTGTATTGTAATAAAAAGCTTAATAGCTGGACCAACCTTGAAATCTCTGAACCCAATTAATAAGACAGTATAGCAGAAGGAATGATTAAAAAACTGGTTGTCAGCTGGCTGCTGGTGACTCACACCTGTAATCCTAGCTACTCAGGAGGCTGAGATCTGAGGATCATAGTTTGAAGTCAGTCCAGATAGAAAAGTTTATGAGACTATCTCCAATAAACTACACAGAAAAAGCAAAACGTGGCACTGTGGTCAAGTGGTAGATTGCTAACTTTGAGCTCAAAAAGGATCAGGGACAGCTCTCAGGCCCTGAATTCAAGCCCCAAGACCAGAAAAAAAAAAAAAGGCTTTCAAGAGCCTCATATCTAAAATATACAAAACAAAATTCCACAAAGAAACAATTCCTCAAAGAAACAACAACCCAAATAATAAATTGGCTAAAGACCTAAAAAGAGATTTTTCAGAAGAAGAATGGCCAACAGACACGAGATGTTCAAAATCTCTGTTGATAAAAGAAATGCAAATCAAAACAACACTGAGATTTCACCTCACTCCAGATATAATGTCCAGTATCAAGGAAGCTAACAATAACAAATACTAACAGGGATGTGGCCAAAAGGGAACACTGCTATGCTGAACTCTGAACCACTCTGGTAAGCAGTGTACAAGCACCTTCCCCAGACTAAACATAGAGCTTCCCTATGACCCAGCAATCCCACTTCTGGGATTTATCCAATTGGCCCCAAATCAGGCCACACTAAAGCCACCAGCACAACCATGTTCATTGCAACATTGTTTACCATAGCTAAGATATGAAATCAACCCAGATGCCCCTCAGTAAATGAATGGATCAAGAATACGTGGAATTCTATGCTTCCATCAGAAAGAATGACATAAGGAACTGCCCCATTTGTAAGGAACTGCCCCATTTGTAAGGAACTGCCCCATTTGTAAGGAACTGCCCCACTTGTAAGGAACTGCCCCATTTGTAAGAAACTGCCCCATTTGTAAGGAACTAGAAAGACTTGGAAAAAATATATTGAGCAAAGTAAGCCAGACCCAGGTGTTTTCCCTCATTTGTAATAATTAGAACATGCCTATAAATTTATGAGTAAACTCAATGGATGGTAAAAGATGAAAATTTACACTTGAACGTGAGAAACAGGATTCTAAACATTCACACACTGAGACCAAAGGAGGATATTCTTAGAAAAGGATCAAAAGGGCCCAATAGGTATGTGCAGATGACCATATAAAATGATGCTTGTCAAAATAAACAAGAAGTGGAAACGAGGTTTTATTTTTATTTTTGCAGTTCTTGTTTGTTCTGTGTATTTCCCCTTTTCTAGCTTTTTTTAAATTTCTGTACCCTTTATCTTGTATGTAAGTTTATCTAATTTGGGGACGGGAAGGAGAAGCACAGAAATGGTGAGACAAGGGGCTGGGAAGGTGGCTCAGTGGTAGAGCGCTTGCCTTGCATGCATGAGGCCCTGGGTTCGATTCCTCAGCACCACATAAGCAAAAAGAGAAAAGCCAGAAGTGGC